CTCCCTGAGAAAATCCTCAAGCTAAAGGAGTTTGCACGCCCAACATCGAAAAGAACATTATTAAAGTTCGATTGATAGCTTAGGGTTGACACATCCAAGAGGTACAAGTACATTGGAACCCACAGATTTTGTCATAACGCTTCATGGTGTCACTTAGGCGACGGTTGTTAGATTTCACATTAGTTTGGCCCAATGAGTAACATGATTTTTAATCATGCTCATCAATGCAAGAAGAAAACAAATACAGCCAGCGTGTTTTATACGGATGTTTTTAACTTTTCCGTTCGTTTTTTTCAACAGATGTAACATGAATACAAAAACCGCCTCATATGTGTGGTGATGAGCATCCGTTTGATAAGGTTTTACGGAACCAATAAAATAACTTAGGTTTTTCACTGCAAGCTTATAATCACAAACGGTTAGTTAAAAATAGTTTTCTGAATTGACTAGGCTAAACGGGCACTTGTCTATCATGCCACTTTTAAAGCGGTTCAATGGTAACATGCCCTTGATTGAAGTAAATTTGGTGCAGCTAGTTGAGAACGGTGCAGTCTTCAACGGCTATTACAGACGTGCTACGGGTTCATAAATTATGGAGGTTCGAACTGTATCATCCAACTGTGGTGCTAGATAGATGGCCTCAGTTGTCTAACTCAATACCACCCCTGTGTGATTGAAGCACCTAGTAATATGAGACGTGGAATCGGAACAAACCTGTTGCCGATTGTCATATAACTGAATAATAGGTCTGAGAAGAAGTCAGACAGTACTAACGACAACACCCTTGTTTTCATCCGGAATCTTTGACTACGTGTTCCCCGTATTACACTTGTCCATGTTGTATCTTTCACCTCCCCTCCGTTCCTCGGGGCCAATTCATCTGCTTTTGGCTTCATATAATTTTGGCCTCATATGGTATCCAGCTATGACTCAAACCAAAACTAGACTGGTGGATGCGTCTTTTATCCAGTTTCCGATTTTACAACCATTAACCATCCACTTTAGTGCACCGGTACACCTCGATACTTAATTGAGTCGGTGGCCACTACCAAAACCCGGATGTTGTGAGTGTTTTTAGTTTTACGCGTCTTCTTGGTCGGTCTGGAATGAAAGAATGTAGCCAATTCCTCCAAGGTGAATTGTCAGTGATTCCACAACCCGGTTATGGCCCCGGACGTTGGCTTTTCGTCCGCTCATTTTGGTGGAAAAATACCTCCCCCACGAGAAGGCAGTGAGTAGGGCTTCCTCAGAGGAGAATTTTGCAAGGTGCAAGGAAGAGGTGATTAACCGAAACCCGAGACAGCCACTCCTTACCATACTGAAGTCCTCGGAGGCTATATAAACTTGGGCTGCAAGAGTACTGAGTAGATGCACGAACACTACTGTTTGCGACACTTAGCCATGCAACTCAGAGTCTCTAACCACCGGTTACCATAATCTCGGGATCACTATCCAGGGAGCCTAATAGGACCCATCTGACCCAAAGTTATGGTTAGGGTTTTCATACTCTCAAGCTCTTGATATTTTTCCACCCACTGACTGCCTCGATAAATATCGCTCGCCAGGACAACCTTTTTGATTATATGCACTTTTTCTATTTGTAAAACTACAACCCTAAACATGAAATACAAACCCATCCGAGTGCACCAACTACTCCTGTACTGAAAATTGGGCGATTTGAACTGATCACCGTTCTATGAGAGAACATAAACGCACTGAAGCTGGGGTCATGACTGATGATGAACTACCTAGAAGTGAAATTGTCCAACTCGTCAAATCGAACGGAGTAGATTGAACCAGTATTATCATTGTTTGTGAGATCCAGACTTTTGTTGACTTTTGTCCTACTTTTATCACAACACTAGCATGCGTTGTTTTTTTGTCTTTGTTTTTTTTCTGTGTCCGTCGGAACAGCCTGAAAATCTGTTACTCACCAGCCGAAATGCAGATGCGGAAATCAAGGTGGCCGATTTTGGTTTAGCCATTCGCGTCCGGGACGATCGTCCGCATTGGAACGGTAAATGTTTCACAACGTGCTATTCAATACTGCCATGGAAACCTAGTTTTGATTGGCTATCTGGAACTGATTTGGTTTGATTGTTTTGCTTTGATTGATTTTTGAACTTTCTTTGTTAATTTGATTGTTACGGGGTCCGATTGAATACACCGTGCAAGTTTTGTGACCTGCTGACTTAGTTCACGCATGAAACTTGCTATTAGTTTTTGGTACTTCCAATACACCTTGGTTGACGTTTCACTTTACGTCACCTGATTTCCTCATCCGCTTGACAAAGAATACCATGAAATGATGCTCTCGTATAAACTACATGCACACGATGACCTGATTTTAGTTCTATGCCCACCTCTAGCCTTTGAACAATGGAATGCGGAACTCGTGACACCAATGCTTCCGTACATGGCGACTGATACCGCTCTTGACGCTATGCGATCCACAAAAGCGGATACAATCCACGTCGGTTTTGTAGAATGTAGCTAAACCAAAAGTGGTCCGAAATTCGGTTCCGAATCAATGAAGCTCAATGTTTCCATTGATGTGCTCCCACAATCCAGTGGTTGGTCAATTTGGATTGCAGAGTTGAAGTTTTTGAGCCCAGAAAGAAGAAAACATGAATTGAAAACGTGGGATACGTTAAATGTAACTGTTTCTTACTTCTCGAGTATCAGCAGCGGTTCTAATTCACCGATCGGCCTCTACTCCCAATCGGGGTTCTAACTTGGAATACCTCGAATAAATTTCAGTCAACCAATCTCTTGCGCGCACGTTATTTTAAGCCACAAACCTAGCAAATACTAGTACTATACTCAAACTCTCCTCCCCCCCGTAAAAAAACATGAATAGTTGTCTCGATAATTAGACGGCATAAATCACTGTACCGGGCCCCAACCTCTCAAGTTCGAACCTTCCTTCTCTATCATTCTTGGTCGGTAGGAAGGTTTGCTGTAGTATAGATCAACGTGCAAACTACTTTAGTGGGACTTTATGTAGTAGAGTGCGGCATTCGACCCTTCAGTGCAGCTGACATGTATTATGAGGAGGAGTGAATTCCACATAGTTAGAAAATACTGCTTAATCCTAATCACCTATAAAGATGGCAGTACTTTGCAATGCCCTCTTTTCCGTACAAGAAACCTATTGTCAGATATTCACGATCGATTAGAAAGAGACTTATGAAGGCACATCTGTCTTCATAACGCCAACGTGCAAAAAAAACGGTTTGATATGTTTTATCTATCTTCGTATTGCATTTAATATCGCATTTTTTATCGAGTTTATCCTCACGTGTGTGTTCTCAGGGCTTGCTGGCACCTACGCATACATGGCTCCGGAAATGCTCCAAGGAATAGCGTACACCAAAGCCGTCGATATGTGGTCAATGGGTGAGTTCTTCAGGACAAACTCGTCGAGCCTCCTGTCCCTCCATGCCCGGCTCCTCTCTCTTCTTATCCCCCGTTTTACGCGTTGATTGTATTTTTGAACCTAGGTATTTTTCATACGCATTTTAGACCAATTGCAGCTCAAAAGCATTTCTTGGAAGTTCGTATGTTTTTGTCTCACAAACGGTAGCACTCATGTTTTGCGGAAAAGATGAGCAAACTGTGGTGACCGATNGTTGTCCAATTATATGGTGAAAGTCATCGTAAATCGAGTGGATACCACGCATGTAAACTGCTGAGCGCGGGGAAATTGCTTGGATATTGTGTGGCCTCGTCTGGAATATGAATTTATCGATTTAACTGAGGACCGTAAACCCGGGACCACATGGATGAGGTGCAACAACGTGACTCGTTTTTACCATCACAATACAGGAGCATGTTTGTGAGTAGTTCACACATGATATGGTACAACATTTCAGCATACAGCATATCATTTTGCTAATCTCATCGCTAGCCTCGGCGACTATGACGCCGCTTAAAGTATCCCCGGCTTTTCAGTTCACTTTTCCTTTGCTCAACGGTTTCCAGCGATTAAGGTCATCAACATATCCTCCCGGAATTCATGTGTTTGAACCTCACCAACGCTGTTTTAATTTATCACCGAGAAATGATCCTTTTTATTGTCCGTTTATCACTTCCCGAAAATTTATTCTACTATCATTCGTGCAGTAAAAACAAGGCAGCAGAATAAATGAAAACAATCTATTCGTCTAATTGTCTCCTTCATCTACTGCCGTTATGTCTGCGTTGTATTTGAAGAAACATGCACATTAGATCAAAATAATATCTCTGTGTATTTCATGGGAGAATTCATCGTGTTTAGAGTATGTAAAGCGTGAACTGCAAAGCTGCGAGGCACTGTACGGCTGTTTCGACCTGGTTGCGCATGATCTGTGCAGTGCGCGAATTGATTGACCCTACTGCAAATCGCGAATCCGGGACCTCACAGGCAGGACATAAGCATGCTATGCACTCAACCACCCCGGGGCAGCCGATCGCACCGTTTTTCATTTTCCATTCGCACGATATAGCGCAATTCATCTTTGCCAGCTTTGGAAGGGCATGAAGCAACACTCATCTCAGCAGTAACCTCGCGAGGTTATTGGTCTGGTAAAAACTTTTAAAACCGGACTATTTGTTGCATCAGAGTGATAGAGGATTTGAGTCAATTTCAACTGTTTCGACCTGGTTGAATCTTAACAGTATATAGCGCTTCCTAGCTTTTAAGTTCACGCTTCATTTATTCTATACACGACAAATGGAAATTGAATCCAATCCTTTGTTACTCACATTTGCATTTCCGCGTATCTTCAAGTGTTTCAGCAACAGGTTGGGCACGGGGCATGGTAGAACTAACCCACGCGAAAGTGCAAATTATCACTTAGTTTAATGCCATCAGAAAAATTCCTTTGATGCTTCTCATCTGTTGATACGCGTTTAGATGACATGTTTTGATTTTTTCTTCCACCGTGCCATGTGCTGGTTTTGTGTGCGTCAGAAATATTTCCATGCATCAGCCGCTACCTTCTGACTATGCGCAAAACATAAAACGCAATTGATCCACATCCGATGTCTCATTGAACATAATTATTATTGCCGGCTTTATATCTAATTCTCACTGTCATGTGTGATAGTCGGTAGAAAACGCAGTAAGATTGACGTCGGTCTCAAATCAATGCCTATTATACTTTGTTGTTCGTGACCTGTGGTCTTTAGACTAAATGTGTCTGGTGTTTTTCTCATCATCGAAATGAAAAGTTTCTGTATGAGAAGGTGATGGAGAACGATCAGATTCGAAAACAGAAGGCATTTTTGTCTTGCTGATTTGAGCAAGTTCGTTCTTGATGCAAATTTCGGTAGCGTACACTTACCCTTAGGAGGGTTCCAAGTGCTGGATCAGAGCTTAGCATATCGTTATGATTCTATAAACCAGTCATCCTCTGACATTCAGTCATGAATATTACTCAACCTTCTTAACAGCGTGATAAAATTATTACAGAACAAATTAAAAAGTATATCATTAAAGCCTTCTACAATATTAAGTACAATCTCCACACTAGGCTAATTTGCATAATAGCATTTGTCTGTAAGATCCAGTTCTCAAATGTTTTAGCTCACCCATTTCATCCATTCCGGCAATCTGATCTGATTGAATTTTAAAGTTCTCATACTACCCAAGGCGTAATTCTGTACCGGTTTCGTTGAGCAATCTCTACAGTATGATTTCAGTGGTGCCAGACTCCATGGTTTGTGTGTGTGTGGGGAGGGGGTTGATTGAGAGGAGTAAGCAATCGAACGATACATTTCCCCAAACGTTTCCAAACCGTGCGAGAACGCTGCATTATGACGGAACCGAATATCATTTCAAACGTCGAATTAATCAAATAGCGAACTGCAACATGCTAACGTCGAGGACTGGTTTGTCTCAGTTGTCTCCAGTGATCGGCATCATCATCAGTCATTGATTGGCTGCAGCCCCCTTCCAGAAAGCTGACTATACATATATATACACAGTACGCATTTTTTATTACCAACGTTCATTAAAAGAAATATCGATCAATGACTGATCCAAGGATTGGGAATATGAGAACAAACAAATAACTTGGGGAGTTTCGGCAGGTGATAACAGATTTCCGCTGATGCTCTAGAGCCCAGGTGTATTTGGCCTGTATTTGGGATAGATACAAATTGAAACTACCAAAGATATTCAACGCTGATCAACTATTGGATCTAAATAATGATGTCTCACTCGAAATCGGATCATCAATCATTGGAATTCATTGATTATTACTAGGTTCCCTATTGATTGATTTGCATTAGACAATGTATGGCTGTGGCATCGATCACGTGCATTAAAATCAATCAAGACAGAATTGGGCATAAGAATGCAATGTGTTTAAGGGGGCATGAAAAATAGAATGAAGTCATTCCGCGTTGGACCGGAGAAAATACTGAGAAATAGTTTGACCAGTATGAAAGAATGTAGATTATCACAAATTTAAAGACTATATATATATATATATATATTTGCATAAATGATTGGCAGCCGTGGTTTAGTGGATCGTCGAAATAACTATCTGTGGCTGCTGGGTTTGAACCCTGCCATCACCGTCCGTATTCCCCTTACCTATACTTCCCTTAAACAGCATTCTGATGGGCGTTGTCTCATTCCTGAGAGTCTGCCACACATTTATATAATCAATAAAAAAAGGAAGTAGAAACATCAAAACCCCTTTGCATTTCAGTTAAAAATTAAAGTCAAACTGAATCAAAAATATCAGTTCAGAAAAAAAATGTTTCTAAAGTTTGATTTAGGTACACAACTTCGAACGCATTTCATTGTCAACCACTTCCTTGTGATTTAGGAATCAGGACAGAAGAAGAATATTAACCTTCTTAAGTCTGAAAGCGTGTAAAGGCCATCTACAAACCATTTCGCATGCCAGTACCAAGTAAGGTAATGTAACAAGATGACCCCAAGATATTTTTCGTAGTCAGCCCTAGGAATGTTATCGTTTACAACACTAACTTCTGGGTGGGTTGTAAAAATGATCTGAAGAAGAGAGCCCTCTTTAAAACTAAAGGCAACACCAACACAATAATTAACACTAAAAAAACAGATATCGGGGTACAGATCAACTAGAAATTTGAGTAAAGCAGTTTTGAAGTAATCGTAAACTGCCCGAACCAATAGAGCCACGCCCGAGAACCACGTCCTCCGCGTGCTTTTCACACGATAAAGTTCGGAGCGAGGTAACGTAACTGAAATAGTGTCTCACGTAACCACTGGGTTGTTGGGTGCTCAAGCTTCCCGTCCTGTTTTCTTTTCACTTACACACAAATAGTTGTACGGTCATGATCACCGAGGATATCTCTTCGAAACGTACTTGGGACACCCTTTTTGTAATGGGCACTACACCTGAGAGAATTCGTGGGGTTAATAACCAAATTTTCACAATTGTGCTCAACAATGCGTCTTTATGTCCGCCCTTTAGTGATATGAGTGCAGTTTATTCTACTACCACACTCGACCTGTCCGTCAGATGATC